TTTACGGAAGAAAGTACGGAAGAGACTATGATTGTTTGAAATAGTCGTCAGTATGACATAAAAGACAATTTTATACATTTTTTTCACAACTATAAAGAAAAGTAGGTAAAATCTTATATCTTCATCTTTAGAAAAAAAAATGTCGGTAATGTTATAGGTCTGTGAAACATTGCTCAAAAAATAGAGAATATTGCAGAGAAATGACAATTTCTATTTACTAATTGGAAAAAAAATATGAATTTTAAGACCCGATGTATGTATATGTAATTTATACTCTCGGACTCTTGACAACTACTTGTGTAGAAAATCTTTTCTAAATTCTAATTACAATTTTAGAGTCTTCTTCTTCCTCCTCTTTTTTGGGGTTTGCTCATTCCAGTTGATATTTCACCAGCTTTCAATAATAATAATTTAGAAGACTCTTAAATTCTGCACGTGCCCTTAGTTCGTTGTTTCTAATTACTTGTTGGTTCTACATTAATTACTATTTCAATTCCAGTTCAAACAGTGACTTTAATTAAATCTGGGTAGTTCCGACTTTATTGATATTACAGCAGGTACCTAACAATTACGAAATATAATACTTTATGAGAGACTTTGGTTTAATTTCCTTAGTCTCTAATTAACAAGGATAACCTTCAATCAGAATCCAGTAGCGCCGCGCTCTCCAAAAAATTAATAAAAGGCGGTTATATATTTTGAAATCACTCGAAGATGATTAGTTATTAATTACCTTGTTTTTTTTAATCTCGTTGGAATTTCGAACAACCTACTCCCACCTAACCGCTTATTAGCTATTTAAGTAAATATTTTTTACCCTTTCAGCATGTAAAGTGGGGAATAATGAATGATTACGACAAACATGCAAACAGAATAGGACATTAGTTTTATTTACCTTGCGCATTTATGATTTTTTTTTTCGTTGCCCCGGAGAGAGCAATATAGTGTTATTTTTGTTTCGCAGATAAGCAAATGACGCAAGCACTTAAGAACGGCGTTTGGTGATGTAATTTCGCAACACTCTTTGTCGAAACGTCGAGAGATAGTGGGAATAAGAGGAAGCGATTGGTTGTTTGCACAATAAGGAGTGTTATTAAGGTGCAAGATAAATCGGTTTTTTTTCTCACCAGGAGGGGCTTCAGGAATTTTTGGGGTAACGCAAAAAAAACTAGAGTATGTCACTTCGATGCATAAACTGACATTCTGACTTTTCATAAATCATAAATGAATAAAAAGTTGTATATTACAAGGGCGTAAGATTAACAGTTTTCAAAATACAGCGTGTATTAATATTGGGGAGTTTTATCACGACGTGACAACAGCGCTTAACCTGCCGATGCAGACGTGTTCACGCGGCAGACTTGTCCTATGGAAAAAATTTAAACAACTATTATTGTGAAACATTTAGTAAATTCCAAGACAATTGTTTTCCAGTTTTTAAATAAATGAAATAAAATGTATCGATTTTGTAGTACGAAGATATTGTTCTGCTTAAATTTTAGCTCGAATTTTAGTAATTATGAATCTCTTAAAACAAGAACTTAACTTTTAATCGAATTATGTATTTGAAAAATATGTAATTAAAGTACCCAAAGATTTACGTCGTCCAAAAAGCAAAATTCAGTAGTTTTTAAACGTACAAGTACAAAACAAACTACAACATATGCTCAAAATGTCCACCACCATTTTCGATGCACACACACCTTCGAATCCAATTTTTGAGCACTCGCTGGAAAACACCTCAAGAAAAGGAAATAGTGGTACGCAAAAAACACTCCGATACGGTCGAATCCAGATACAAACTGAATTGCGTGTTGGTGGTTGCTGGACACCTTAGTACCTCGTGTTAATAAACCGTTGCGCCGTTGTCACATTGCTCGATATGATTTTTATCGAATTTTAAATTTATTACAACGCTAAATTATTTTTCAGAATTATGCATAAAAAAGTTAAAAAAGTGTCGAGTCGATTGAAAAAAATATATAAAATTCATTCATTTTTCTGCGTTACGATTTTTTAAATTTCTGAAATCATCCCTTAACTTCTAGTCTCCCTAACTCTGTTAATTTTAACAGTACAAGAAAAGCCAACAGACCATTTGTATGTAGAATGTTATGCTCTACAACTTTTTTAAGAAACTATTGTTCTAACTCTTACCCTTTTGAGTTATCTTGAAAATCCCCTTTATTTTATCTTTTTTCATCCCTGGCCGGGGGTTGTAAAAAATTGCTACCACATATTGTTATTATATACCTCAAACTAACTTGTATCTACAATTCAGACAAGTTGATCAAAATTGCGATTTAAAAGCCCATATAGGACTATATTGGTTGTACTGATTTCTATACAGGATTTTTCCAGGTAAATAAAGTTCTAAATGTCTAAAAATTGTTATTTTTAATTTGACCAACGTTTCTGTACGAAAAGTAATTACTTAATCGAGGCTGCCTCGAATTCATGAAAAATGAATAAGTACAGCCTACTTGTTTTTATATTAAGTTGATACCAACCGTACTTATTTTGTACATACATTTTGAATATTTATGACTTCATTTAGCCAACGTCTAATTTATTTTTTTTTTGTCGGAGTGAGATGTTTCTTTTTTAAAGTATAAGTAATGTCGGGTGTCATCCGAGTTATTACAGGCTTTCCTTTATAATTTTGTGCGGTATATTTTTTTCTGTTTAAATGACAAATGAAAAAAGTCTGCTTTACTTTATTTTTTACATAAATTTCTTTTAATATTAGACAAATGTACTGATAGGATCGCGGTGATATGGATGATATAAAATAAATTGAAAGGCATTCTTTGCGTATTTTTAAGCAAACCAGGATTGTGAACTTTTATTTTATGATGATATCAACTCTACAATGCAGAACAATATAACTCCTGTATTCCGTATTAGACTATTATAAGAATGCAATATTTACGGAGATAGCACTCCCTTCTGGTTTGCTAAAAGATAAAAAAAGAAGAGCTTTTGAGACAAATGACCTTCACAGTAGACAATAGGTCGACTTATCGTCAGTAAAAATTTGGAATTTTTTTATCAATTAACTAAAAAATAGGATTAGGAAACTAACTGAAATTTTAGCTCACAGTAGAGTAATAGTGAGGCTATATATGGTCCAAATTTCAATTTTTTTTTGTCCCTATACTATAGTAGGATCATATTCGATGCAAAGTAATAAATCATTGCTGCCAAGGGAACCAATGAAGTACGCTTTTAAGGGTTTTACAAATTGAATAATTTCTTTATACATTATGAAGGGACGAGGGGATCAGTTCAGGTCTGGCACCCTTGTTCCTACAAAAATTCCTTTATTCTCATAAACTATTTATTTTAAATGGAATTTATTATAAATCCAATTTGTTTCCTAAATTCCACATATGTACTACATTTTACCTCTGTACGCGCCACTATTGTTTACTTGTTTTTTGGAAGCGCTCTCTAATTGACGGCAAAGCTCGCCAGGTTAGTATTTGACGTATAACCGACCAGTTTGTACACTCGATGCACCTGGGCGACTACAGCTACTACCAGAACACAGTGCGTATGCAGCGGTATTTCAGATTTTACATTGAATTTCATTTTAAATTTGAAATGATTTATCTTACGCCTCCTAAAAATGATGACACGATTTTCCTTTGATAAAAGACCGACAACTTTTTGCTCTACTTTGCATCGAATACGATCCTACTATACGTTTTCTTAATACGGGTTTCCGAACTTAGGGGTCCATTTCATTTATTTCGATGATTGTTAATTTAACCTAATTTTCATATACAGGGTGTCCCAGAATAAGTGGGCAATCTCTCGGATTTATACAGGGGACGTTAATATAACATGACAAGTTCCTATAAAAATTTTCTTTTATAATTTTATAAGAAACATTACTTTTGAATTTATATTTTGTTATTAGCTCTCGTGTTTTTTTCTTTATTTCATACTAATTGAAATAAATTAAAAAAAATTTTTCAGAACTGTTTGACTTCATCTGATCTAAAATAAATTGTTATATTGAGAAATCAAAAATGTTATCCACCTGCACTATAAATCACCTGTTAAACAATTTCAACTACTGACAAGAAATCGTACTAGGTAATCGATAAAATGTTTGTGCCGGCTATAATTAAGGATGCCGTTCTCACAAAGGAGTGTTTTAAACAAAAATACAAAAGATTATAAACATTTAATAGCCGAACTATTTAGGGTTTATCGAATAACATACTGTCGTCTTTCATCATTTTCCCTTGGCGTCTCGAACACTCTGCCCCCACGTTGGGCGCCACGTCGTCTTTCACCATCACTATTACGGGTATTACCTCTAATGTGGGAAGAACCAGTATTTTTACCGAGCTTGCGGTGCTGGGACTCTCATCTGGCAAATTTATTTCTCCTCCTACGGCTTCTGACTTCAAAGATGAATCATGTGTGCCGCTTTCCTCGCCCAAGTTCTAAGTTAAACTCGATCCTATGTTTATTTTTTAAATAAAAAAAAATTAAAATCGTTAATATGTTAAAAGCACCTGTGAGCGTATAAAAAGCAGTTTTTCTGTCCGTATTCGTTTTCTTAATTGACTTATTTTATTCAGGCTCTGAAGACCAAAAAAAAAATCGACTGGGGGTTTTCTCAACGTTCCTTTTGTTTATTATATTTGGCACAATACTAGCACATAAAAGTTGTGAAAGGGAAAGTAAAAGAATTAATAGCCTGCCATTAGCGTTTAAGGTTTAAGGGTAGCACAAAAGACATTTTTTAAAGTCGCAAAGGAGGACTAAAGGATTTCCTTTTGGTGTTTTTAATCCGAACCACGTGAAAAGAGTAGCGAAGCCTTCGTACAGAGCCGGCTCGGCCTTCGGCCCACACTAGAATTAATACAAGGCCATAGGTTTCTAGACACCCTGCGAATATTTCAAGATCGTCCGCTTCTAGACACAACAAAGCCCTATCTCTATTTACAAGATACTGAGGTGTTTTTTTTCTTTTTTTTCAGGGGCGAATGGAGGCACCATGCTGGGGGCCTTCGCCGGCCTTGGGGCCATCCTGTTGGTGTTCCTGCTCTACATCAAGAACAAGGGGTGGTGGTGGAGCCCTGTCCGCGGCATGAGCTGCTGCGACGAGGCCTGTCCTCCAGTGTCGTCGCGACCAGTCCCGACACCTTCAGTGCCTAATTGTAGCTCTATAACGCCGGGCTCGCCGAAAACCAAACTGGGTAAGTCGACTTTTGTAAGGATTTCTTTGGTATTTTCGAGAAAATGTAATTTAGCTCAGTATATGACGGTTTTTAGGTCCTAATTCTTGACACATGCACCGATTGGCGTGAAACTTTAACAGTAAGTAGAAAATTGCTCAAGAAACAAAAGTTACATAGTGACGATATGTGATTTCACCCTGGGGGTGAATGCCACCCCTTCTCGGGGGTGGCAATGAAGGCACCAATTTTAATCGCAAATATCAATAGAGGGATGAATTCTAAGCAAAAAATGCTTTATAGCGTTTTTTCCAAAAAATAATATTTTCCGAGTTATTTTCCATTGAAAATGTTGATTTTTCATTTAAAAAGTGCATATTTTTCAACCATTTTTGATAAATAACTCGAAAACCTTGCGTTTTATCGAAAAACCCATATATACATAGACCAGGAAAACTAGAGGTATGTGGGTATAATGCACATAAGTGCCTGATTTTTTGTGAGAAGGTAGAAAAAGTGGAATATAACAACATATCTTTACCCGTACAAAATCAAAAAATACCATTTTTGTTTATAAGCCATAGAAACTGTGATTTTAGTGAAATTTCACGTTTTTAGCTTATAACTTTTGTCCGGACGGTTTTACTGCAAAAAAGTAAAAATTCTTTTTTGTTTGTCTTTTCAAGACGAACAAAACGAACCCACGTACGAAAAAAAATATTGATCCAGTCAAAAATTATTAATAAAAAACATTAATTTTTTGCAATTTAAATAAACATTAATAAAAAGCTTATTAACAACAATGATGTGTATTGCTTATCTCCAACTATTCATTTTTACTGACGAATAATCTGTGCGAAAGCTGGAAACCGTAAGTTGAATATTTTGCGAGTTATGGCCTAATAAACAAATTAACTAATAATCATTCCCCACGTGTTTGAGGGTCACTCGTATTCGCGCTAAATTTTTTATTGGTATATTTCACTATAAGCTGTCTCATTGTTATTTTTCAAAAAAATTCAATTTTGCGACCTAGGGAATTTATTTTGTAAATTTGCTTAGTTGCAAAATGAAATATTTACTATATTTTAATACTTATGCGCGATTTGATTACATACATCGATAGAGCTTTGAGACCTTCATTTAAAAAAAAAATCGTCAAGATTCGTTAATAAACAAAGGACCTACGGGCAGTCAAAGTTGACGGTCTATTGTTTAAACATTTAGATGAGTATCGAAAAAAAATATATATGGCCGTGAGCGGAAGACGCAGCACTGTCTTTCAATAAAATATCAAGTTTACGGGGGCATGCTAAGTAACTTTAAATAATTGTTTAAAATCGGCCAAGCACTCGAAATTCCAACTATGCTCTTGACCTACGAAACTTACCTGCTATCACTCTTTGATTTAGCTAGTCGACAGAGCAAGTGGCAACTATGCTTTGCACCGACATTACTTAAATATTCGCGGATATTGTTAATGTCAATGTCGAAAATACTACAAATAATCTTTTTAAGCAATGGTTTTCGTATAATATATAGTGTTTATACATGATATATATTTACAATATGTTAATAATGGTAGTCCACATGCTAAGAAAAAAAAAATTACTTGAAAGATGAATAATTGACAGGGTTTTATTAATTGTTTGTGGTAATTTGTACGGCGCTTACTAATTTATTTGGTATTGCGTATAAATCTAATAAGTCTGTATTTGTATAAAATTTTAATTTATGTAAAGTCTCATTGTAAATACTGTATATATTTTTAATAAAATAAGATTTATCTTACATCACGTTAATTAATAATAATTGTTATAATTGTTATATATGTATTCAACATTATTTATCCTTTAAACATTACTTTCTCGATTCCATTGTAACTTATATTGCAACTAGAATCTCAAAAACTAGATAGCGCGTGATTAAACATAATACTTTTTGATTTTCATTTTTTCTAATTACATAGACTGTTAGTCACTTAAATATTCGCGGATATTGTTAATGTCAATGTCGAAAATACAACAAATAATCTTTTTAAGCAATGGTTTTCGTATAATATATAGTGTTTATACATGATATATATTTTTTAAGTTTTTATAACAATTAATAATTGCAATTGTTCATTAAAAATAACTGTTGATATCAACAGGTAATTGCATTATCATTTTCATCAAATTCTTAATATAAATAATCTCATAATAAGTAGCAAAGAAATATGCATATTTTATTAATGCGCTTTTGACGGTTGTATTTATCAAAATTTGTTATTTTAAGCGGCATAAATAGATTCCTCTCGCCGCGTAGTACTAAATTAAAAAAAAAAGAGTAATTTATCATAAAAAGTTATCGAGAAAAGCGATGTCACAGTTGCGCTGTTGATTTTGAAGACGCGCGAACAGTTTTTTTCGGTAGTGAAGATGCGTCTCGATCGCTTCCCCCACTCCGCCGCCGCGCGCGAGCTATTGGAATTTCGATTGCTTGGCCGATTTTAAACAATTATTTAAAGTTACTTAGCATGCCCCCGTAAACTTGATATTTTATTGAAAGACAGTGCTGCGTCTTCCGCTCACGGCCATATATTTTTTTTTCGATACTCATCTAAATGTTTAAACAATAGACCGTCAACTTTGACTGCCCGTAGGTCCTTTGTTTATTAACGAATCTTGACGATTTTTTTTTTAAATAAAGGTCTTTGAAAGCTCTATCGATGTATGTAATCAAATCGCGCATAAGTATTAAAATATAGTAAATATTTCATTTTGCAACTAAGCAAATTTACAAAATAAATTCCCTAGGTCGCAAAATTGAATTTTTTTGAAAAATAACAATGGGATCCGATAGCTTATAGTGAAATATACCATTAGCGCGAATACGGGTGACCCTCAAACATGTGGGGATTGATTATTAGTTAATTTGTTTATTAGGCCATAACTCGCAAAATATTCAACTTACGGTTTCCAGCATTCGCACAGATTATTCCTCAGTAAAAATGAATAGTTGGAGATAAGCAATACACATCATTGTTGTTAATAAGCTTTTTATTAATGTTTATTTAAATTGCAAAAAAGTAATGTTTGTTAATAATAATTTTTGACTGAATCAATATTTTTTTCGTACGTGGGTTCGTTTTGTTCGTCTTGAAAAGACAAACAAAAAAGAATTTTACTTTTTTGCAGTAAAATCGTCCGGACAAAAGTTATAAGCTAAAAACGTGAAATTTCACTAAAATCACAGTTTCTATGGCTTATAAACAAAAATGGCATTTTTTGATTTTGTATGGGTAAAGATATGTTGTTTATACCACTTTTTCTACCTTCTCACAAAAAATCAGGCACTTATGAGCATTATGCCCGAAATGGTCATTTTCAGGCTAAATTATACAGCAAAAATAAAGCTTTTGAAATAACGTATCAATTCATTTTTTGTTGATTACCGTAGATGTAATAATAACCGAGTTATCACTCTCTAAAGGTGATTGTTTATTTTTCGGAAAGTAAAATCGAACCTTTTACCGTAAAATAATGGCGAAAGAACTAATTTTTCGGAGAAAATGAATATAACCTTATTTAAAGTGCTTGGAAAGACCTTGAAAATGCTTTTTGAAAAAATTTCGTAGCTCAAAAACTCGCGGAGTTATGATGAAAACAAAATGGTCATCTCATTTCTTCGGAGAAAAAATCAACAACAAAATCTATGGCTGAACCATAAAAATAGAAACTAAGCGTAATCTATGTACAGTTGACTTTATTTAAGTACTAATAATAGGCTCTGCAAGTTTGACGTGTTTAGAATGACTAAATTGAAAAAAGTTTGAAATAATGAAAACAAAATTTTTTTAATTTTTAAAAAAAATTCCTTTTTTTCGAAATAACTCAAAAACTAAACACGATACGTGAAAAATGCAAGAGTTCAAAATTAAAGGTATTTTTTTATAATATTTTTGCTCTCTTCAATTTTTCTGTAGAGCAAAAATTAACTGAGATATTACGTTTTTTAGTTTGCATTTTCGTGTAAGGACCACCTTCTTTGAGCCCTTAAAACCTAAAGATCTCGAAAACGAAGAGTTCAAGACCCTTCAACTATAAAGGTTGATTTGTAGCTCTTGCAGTTATCTGCAAATTGCTTTTAGGAGCGATGAAAAATATTAAAAATTAAAGTTATCGTGAAAAAACGAATTGTATTATTCGGTGAAAATTGTCGGATCGTGTAAATGGCTTAATTTCCGATAGTTTCCGAGGCGTAATACATGCACAAACACGTTGAGTGTTTTGAAAACGGGTAAAAATTCATAATATGTCCAAAAAAGTATCGGTTTAAAACAAGATCATCTCATTAAAATAAACTTTATACATAAAAAATGTACCACTTCTTGAATTTTTTTACATAATAATATTGTTTTTTAAGAAAATTGTTTACTGGTACCATTGTGAAAAATTATTTCGCGAAAAAATGCGAAAAAATTTTTTTTTATACAAAATTAATAGTTTATAACAAATTAATAATTGATTATTGCAAAATGGATCGTGCAGTTATTATTTTCATGCGCTACCACAGATTAAAAAAAAAACGTTAAAATTGGTCCACAATTGCCGGAGATATCGTAAAATTTTCGGGCAGTTAAGATTTGAAATCTCGAAACGTTTCTGTTTTATTTCCCCCACCACACTCCAGGACGTTTTTTAAAGGGTTAAAAATTACTATAAAATGCATTTTTTTCGATATCTTTAACCGTTATTATGAAGTTTAAGGGTTGACTGATTTATTCCCGAAATTTCAAGTCTTAATGTTTATAAATAAACAAGTTATGAATTTAAAAAAACACGCTATCTCGGCTAAAAATGGTCCTAGAACATTTTTTTTTTAAATTCGTGAAAAATTACCAGGATTACGGATATCAAAACGGCTTTAAAAAATATTCATTAATCGCAAAAGTATTAACGAAAAACCTTATAAACATATTACACTATTTGTTTATACGCCGTTTTGAGGAGGTTAGCCTATGAAATTACAATTTCCAA